CAAGTCTCCTACTTCATTTGCCTCACTGACATCCATAGGTGGAGGTGGTTAATCGAATTAATACCATAACCTATGTTGATCGAATTACAACCGACCTTACATCATATTAGATTTAGTACAAGTTTAGGTGAGTTTAATAACCGGTCAAATTACATTCAAGTAAAGTCAATAATTAATGGTTAGAAAATTAACTCACTCTAGAATTTTAGTGAAATTTGGTTCAATTCAATAATTTTACGGATTATAATCAAGTTGAAATCACCAAGTCAATAATATATGGTTTACATTTGGGTCGGATCATTTACACGTCAATTCATGTTCAAAATCGGTATCAAATACTCTTGTCAACTCGATTCCATGAAAAATGTGACAAGTATTTTAGAACAAAAAATGGATATGGTAACAAGTGTTCTAGGACAAAGGGAATAATACAAGAAATTATCTTTAATTTTGTAAATAAGAACATTATATAAATCAAATAATTCATATGATATAAAATATGATAAAAATAAATGACATATTTCATAAAATTAATGTATAATAGCTAAAAGTAAATAACTATTTACAATAATAAATATAATAAAAAATATTTGTTCATTAAATCTTGATCTTGATCTTCCAAAACATCTTCTAATTTTCAAGTATTATAATAACAACACAAAAATAAACATCAGTTATTTGTCACAAATTAAAGTAAATAAATTAGAATGTAAAGTAAATAAATTACAACTTAAAAGTAAATAGAAAACGTAAAGAGGTAAAATACCAAATAAAAAAAATACCAAGTATAATAACACCTGCACAAAATAAAAAGTAAATGAAGTTACTGTTAAAGTAAAATTGTGAATATATATTAGGATTCAAATATACTTAGTAAACAATGTGCAAATATGGAATTTAACTTTGAGTATTATCAAGTATTACCTAAAACTTCAAAGTGAATACAGTATTAATACCTAAATAACGAGCCGTTTTCTTAAGTTTTTTTTTTTTTTTTTTGGGAAGCAGATGGAGCACCCTCTTCCATTCCATTGAAGTTAAATATATTCTCTTTGTGAGGACAAGTAGGCTTAGTGTGGCCAGGTTGTTTACATATGGAACAAGATTTAGTCTTCTTCCCCAACTCTTTTCCACCTTTCTCATGTCGTTTTTTTGGATGCCCTTTTGTCTTAGATTTAGTGGGCGAATACACATTAGTTTCACCACTTTCATGTGTAGGTTCATCCTCCATGAGATCAAATTCTTCTTCTGTCAAAATTTCATCTTCTCCTCCATCAACACTACAAGTACCACCTTCAACAACGTCACTGGAATTCAAGACCCCTCCTTGACCAATATTAGTAGTTTGCAAGGCATTACGACACCATCGTCAAGGTAAGTAAAATGCAGGTATCTTGAAACAGTCTTTATGGAAGAAGACTCGAAGACTATGACGACAAAGAATACCCCAAAATTCAAAATTCTTGCAGCTACAAGTTGTTGTTACTCCATCCCAAAAAAAAAATTATGATTTTTTGGAGTTTCCCCTTGAAAATATCGCACTATAAATGTATTACCTTGATCATGTATGATTGAAATTGACTTGCTCTAAAAAATTCATCTTGAAACTTTTTAAAAGTAAATGGTGTAAGAACTCCAAAAGCTTTTTCTTCCAATGGTGATTTTGATTTCATAGGAATTATTCTAAAATTTATAGTCAATACAATCGTCCTTGGGAAATTTCTAGAACAACAATATCAACCTGTAAATATTAATTACAAGTAGCCATATAAATTATGTTGTTATGCCGTATAAAAAGTTACGTGTATAGTATAAAGTCAACCAAGTACAAAGTTAGGCTATTTATGAAATAAAACCAATGCAAAGAGTAATACATAAGCCTAATACTTCAAACTGTAAAGCAATCAACATAAATATCAAACAACATCCAATTAGACATAAAAAATTTATAAGGATATTCATGTATGACATACCTGTTTCACAAAATATTTTAAGCTCACATTAGAGGAAACAAACTTCTTAATAAATGCATTAATAGACTCTGATCTACCCATGGTAATCATCCCTCCAAAAATATGATCGGCGCCCAAAAAAGTTTGACATTGTATAAGCCTTGAATATGATTATTCTCTTGCAAGTTGTACTTATGAACCATAATATTCCACTTACATTCAAACTCTTCTAGTATAGTGGTCCTATATATGCTGTAAAAATCAGCACACCAATCTTAATAGGTAGTGGCGTATCCGGGATTTCCGAACAGTGGGTTCGGAATCGAAAAAAATGAATGACAATATATTAATTAAAGATTCAATACATAATTTTAGATTTCGGATTACAAATAGATTACACTTAAAAAAAATAATAATAAAATTTAAAAAAAAAAACACCCTATAAAAAAGGGGTTAAGAGGGTTTGAACCCAAACTTCGTTGTAAGGGAATGTAAAGGCATCACCAAAAACAACTATTGGGTTGCACACTAACATGGTATGATATTCTGCATAAATATTTTATATAACGCTTTTTTAATTCTTTTATCTTAGTCCCCTATTTAAAACGAAAAGGGGTTGGAGAGGGTTTGAACCCCAAACTTCCTTGTAAGGGAATATAAGGACGCGAACCAAAAAATACCATTGGGCTGCACGCTTACACGATGCTATATGATGCGAAACTATTATATTTAACCCATTTTTAATTTTTTTTTTAAAAAAAAACTTTTAAATTTTTTTTTTTTCAAAAATTCAGTGGGTTCAATGAACCCACTTGAACCCAACATGTATCCGCCACTATTGATAGGCCGTACAGAGAAGTGATGCAAACCAACAGCTAAATTTTAAGGTAATATGTCATATACAAAACCTGCGCTTCGTAGTTGGAAAAATAAATGCAATTGCTTCCGACATCTAAGGGTCTTGATCAGTTATAATCGTCTTTGGTGGCGTTTTCATTATGGTAACAAAAGTCTATTTTTATCCAAAATAATAGAGATAATTTCTAGTTAGCTAAGTAAAATAATCTTATAAATAGATAAACTTAAATGTGTTAGTAGTCTTGCCTTCATCAACAACTTGAAAGTAGATGTTTTTTCATCGTGAAGGAGAGCACAACCAAAAATATAGTCTTTCCATGATTATTGACACCAACAAAGGTTGCACAAGGCATGTCATACGCATTCACTTTGTATGTGGTATCAAACACAATCACATCACCATACTTTTGATAAAGTTCAAAGCTTTGACCTTGACACCAAAACAAATGTTCAAGCCTCCTACTATCATCCACTGTGTATGCGTATCGGAATAATTCATTCTGTTGTTTTGAAGATTGAATATACTCTAAAAGGCTCTTAATATCATCATCTCCAATCACTCTCTTAACTCTAGCAAAAAGATTACAAACATCTCTTTCATAAATGATAGCTCACCATGTCTAACATTTTTTTCAAGCACCATGACTCGAATAATTTGTCTTACCGAAAGTCCAACTTCTTTATAGAGTAAATTTTTTTTCATCCTCTTGACGAATAAAACGATTAGCTGCCAGAAGATGCATTTCATCGGATGACAATAGCTCGTGATTATGCTCTTTCACAAACTTTGTGACATGCCATTCTTCGGGAAATATATCAAAACACCTTTTCAATACTATACGCATATGTGCCTTGCAATCACATCTACAAGACTCCTTTTGTCTTTGAGGTTTCGACATATCAACCACTTTCAAAGGTTTTTTCCCTCCACAATGACAATAAAAGTCACGTCTCACAGCCCTTCCATGTTTAGTGTCCGAGCTATCTTTGCGAACAACATACCCATGTCGTTTTGCATAGTTGTTGTAGTACAGATAAGACTCTTCTTGAATCTCAAAAGTTTGGCCAATAAAAGGTTCATTTTCATCCTCCTCAATAACGGGATCATTCAAGTCAAAGTGTAACATTTGCACTAACTGTACACAAAAGTATATATTCTGCAAAGCACTACTACTACTACTATCAACAAATAATTCAACAAATAAACAAACAAAGACATCTATGTATATATATCTAATGTAGGCAGAGGAGAAACCAAATGAGTTTAAAATAAATTGAAAATATATTAGACATTTAATCGAACAGGTTGTGGGCAATTATACTATCATGAAATTTTCTCAATTAATTTTAAAATATCAATTATGATGGTTAATTTCTTATTGAAACTCATATATTAATCCAATGTAAGACAAGAAGACTTACCAACTTCAATGTTCAACCTCTTGCTCAATTGTTTTTTCCTTCACAAGTAATTGATAGAAAGCTATTGTTTGTTGGGCATGGATAATTGAACGAGATTGTGTCTCCAATATAATAAATTTCTACTTTTATATTTCAATGGAAGGTAATTGAAGGAAGATGAAAAAGCAGAGCAAATTTTGTAAAGATAAAATATAATAGCGCCATTAGCATTGGTAATTGATGGGGAAGGGTGCAACTGTAATTAATTGCAAGGGTAATAATTGCCTAGTACTGCTTACTATGTTTTCAATAGCAATCATTTTTATATTGAAAATATAAAAGAATCTAGACAACATTAATTCTTATATGTAGCCCTTAGATCTACATATAACATTTGTCGAGTTATTATAAAAAGTGGGTACTGAACTTTGCACTTTGTTGCAGATTGGGTACCAAACTTTGCATTGTTGCAAATTGGGTACTGAACTTGGGTACTGCCTGAGAATTCACCTGTTGCAACCGGTTACCAAGCATTGAACAACTAAATACTTAATAAAAGGAAATGCCCTTTAGTTTACAGCAATGTTAGAGCTTTTAAAAGTAGTCGTTACAGTTAGAAGCTGCTGTGCATAAATACTACAACTGGACTTAGAAATTTTTGGCATAATTATTTTCTTCATACAAAAAATTTGATCAGGTTCTTCAAAAAACTAAGCTCCTTCTCCTGAAACTGCAAGAAGGTTTAAAAAAATTAGTGGAGGGGTTTAGCAGTGTCATAACAGAAAGAGTATGTCAAGGCTAAGTCATGGCTATGTTCTTGGGAGTCCTTTAAGGTGTCATTGTGGACTGCTAGTGTCCAAGAGCAGGGGTTGGACTAAAAAAAATCCTGGAAGAAGGTTCATAGCCTGCTTAGATTATGATGCAGAAACTGAGAGAAGGGGATGTAAATTCTTTAGGTGGCTGGATAGGGAAGAGCCAACAAATTGGCAAACTCGAGTAATCCTAGGATTGATGGAGGATAAAGAGAAGTTAAAAAATGAATTGATTTCAATGAGAAGGGAACTTACTGAAGCTAACCATGTCTGTAGGAAAGCAAAGGCTGAGTACACTATGTTGAAGATGAAAAGGGCTGCAAAAATGAAAGTTGGGTTTAGTTGTCAAATGTGGGTAGTTGTTCTAGTCCTGCTACCTTTGTTTGTTATCTACTATGTAAGGCAGTAAAATATGCTACCTGTATTAGCTATTTCTTTGCATTTCTTCCTTTTCTTTGTGTAGTTTCTAGATCTTGTAATGGTCAACTTATTATCAATAAAATGGTAGCAGAAATTTTATTCTTGAATTTGGTCAGTAATATGTTTACCCTGAAGTGCTTTAGTTGAAATGGTGTTGTGGTGACTTGTCTGACTTTCTTGAGTACATGGAAAGTGTTGACTGCTGAAAGACTGAACTATTTGTTCTCCACCACCATAATCTGAGTAATAGGCTCTCTGTACATTAGTTGTTTTTGGTGGTCCCTGTCATGATTAGTAGCAAGATGCAGATTATTGGCCTTTTAAAGAAAAAAAAACATAAAATAATTACAGAGGACTTACAGTTGCTACTCTTTGATATCCACTTGGGTATGTATAAACTCCAACACCCCTCATGTGCATTGGTAGATCATTTGCTGGGGGTTGTTGTTGCTGTTGTTGCCTGTGTTGATGTGCTGGTCTATCTGGTGCAACATTTTTGCACCCGTTCTTGTTGTGGCCTGGCACACCACACAAGCCGCAGGTCATGACAATCCCCTTTCTCTTAAGTTTCCCTACAGCTGTGACTTCTCCTGCTTGGAGTCTTCCTTTTGTTTTTGGTCTTCCCTGTATTTTCTTGATGGTGGGAGGATGTACAATTCCATCAGAAGTGGGCCATTGCTGGGGTCCATTTAAAGGCTCAAGCAGATAATCATTAGCCTTTAAATAGGTGGACTTGCTGAAATACTCATTCACTAAAGGTTCAGGATGGTCCCCTATGTTCCAAACTGCCACAACCACATGTTTGCAGGGAATCCCACTTACTTGCCATGCCCTGCAACTACATGTTCTTTCTTGCATATTCACAACAAATCTGTCTTGTGTAGCACCTTCCCTCACACCATAACAGCACCCACCATCCCAGTAAGCATTCCAGCCCCTAGCCCAAATCTTATGCTTCTCTAGTTTTTGTTGAATTCTAGGGCATAACACCATGTCTTTGTTCTTTATTTGCTCCCTCTTTTTATGCAGCCTGTCCATAATCCCTTCCCTAATTTCCTCAAGCATGGTTAAAATTGGCTTATGTCTAGAATTTAGGATGAATGCATTAAAGACCTCACTCATGTAGTTGTCAACACTGTCACAACATGAGAGAGGACTATAAAAGGCCCTGCACCATTTTTTATAGTTTCTTTTCAATAAATCCTCTGCTGCATCATCACTAATGTCCCTCATAATCTGAAGGCTGGCATTAAAATCAGCCTCTATATTACTTTTTGCAATTTTCTAGAATTGTTTCCTGTACTCTAAGCCTCCCCCAAAGACTGTTCTGAAGTTACAGTAGACATGTCTAGCACAGACTCTGGTTTCAGCTTCAGGAAAGACCTCTGCAATTGAGGCCAACAGACCCTTCTGCTGGTCTGACATGAATGTGAACCCTGCACCTTGAGTAAGGCCTAAATCTAAACCCAACAACTCCAGAAACCATGTCCAAGAGGCTGTTGATTCAACCTCAACTACAGCCCATGCAAGGGGGAACATTTGATTGTTCCCATCCTTACCCACAGCAACTAGGAGTTTTCCACCAAAAGGGCCTTTTAGAAAACAACCATCCAAGGATATGAATGGTCTGTATCCAGCTAAGAAACCTTTTTTCAATGCTTCAAAACAAACATACAATCTCTCAAACACATTTCCATTCATTTTTAATTTCACTGTATTATTTCTGTTTGTTCTAAGTATCTCAACAGTATACCTAAGTATTAGAGCATATTGCTCCTCATACTCACCAATGATCAACTTTTGTCCTAACTTTCTTGCCCTGTATGCCATATATCTACTTACTTTCAACCCCTTCTCCAACCACACTGTCTCAATTATGTCATGAACTTTCATGTAAGGGTTCACTTTGAACTTGGACTGGACATTAGATGCCACCCAATTAGCTGTTACATGTTTGACCTTTTCTGCTCTTCCACATGTGTGCTCTCCTGTAAAAGTTTTCACAAAAAAGTTTATTTTACCTCTCTCCCAAGAGCCCCAAATCCTCCAACCACAACCTCTGTCTTTATTTTTACAGTGTGCTCCTACTTTGTCATGTGAGTTCCTAGAGAAAACTATGTCTCTATGATAACTTGTTATTTGGCATGATTTTAGGGTACTTTTGAACCTTGTTTTCGTTATTAATCGACATCAAAGTTCATTTTTATCCTATTTTTAAGAAAATTTTGTACCATCCATGCTTCACCGGTTGTTTGTGTTTTTGATGTAATGTAGCTATTTTTAGCACTATGGACATGATCAAGCATGAGTGAGCAAGGATAAGGGAAAGCTTGGTTGATAGAGCCACGGAGGAAGAAGGAGGAATGCCTTAAAGGGAAATGAAAAGCTTTTGGAGAACCTTGAAAGGTCGTTTGCGTAAGCGTCAACTTCAACCAACCATAACTTTTGATCTTATCAACCTTTTGATGAGATTCAAATTGGAGATTAAAGTTCGTCTCAAGAGCTTTCCAACAACTGGTCACAAGTCCATTTCCGACAAGAAACGTAGAAGTTACAGCTTCCCAAAGTTAAGCAGTCTAGGCAGGGCATCCTGCACGGACGTGCAAGACTGCACGTCCGTGCCAAAAGCTGCACGTCCGTGCAGACCTTGGCAAAAGCTTCTGCCTCCATTTTGGCCCTCCTGCACGTCCGTGCCAAACTTTCCACGGCCGTGCTTAGCCTTGCACGTCCGTGCCAAATCTGGCACGTCCGTGCAGACCTGCAGTCGAACTCCTTCCTTGTTTTCTCCGTCCTTTTTATTTGGGGGTCATATAAATACCCCTTTAGAGCTCATTTTTATGGGGAGGTAGTTTTTTTAGAGCTTTCCTCTTAGTTTGTAGTCTTAGAACATTAAATTCTCAAATCATTAGTTAGTTCTTAATTTTTAGCTTGGAAGCATTCAAATTCAATCATTGTAGAAAACAAAATCCACCATTGTTGCTCACTTTGAAGCTTCATAGTAACCATTTCTTACTCATCTTTTCTACTTCTCTTTACTTTGTTGTTGATTAATTGCTTAATTCTTGCATGCTTAGATTGTTAATTAGCTTAATCCTTAGTTTGAACTTGTTCATGAATTGCTTGAAATCTCTAATTGCTTTAACCTCCATGGATTGTGAGTAGTCTAAATTCTAGGGTTTGGGTAAACCCTCAATGTAGTCACTAATTACTTGTTGCATGTGCTAATTTGGTTGTTGTGGGATGATGATTAGTTTAGCTTAAGTGGTTTAATTGCTTAGTTCTTGTATATGGCCATTGCTAGAACTATTTATCCAAGCTTTCTCAACGAAGGATCGAGAGATGAACTTGAGTTAGCTCCCTTATGCTTAATTGACCCGAAATACCATGAGAATAGGGATTACCGGTCAAGGGAATGTTTATGTCATCGTGATTATGCTTTAACACTTGTTTTATGCTATGTAACCACGAGAGTAGGTTGTATTCACGATTCAAGTAATCCCTCTAGCTTGAGAGAGTAGTTGGGTGCTTTAGATGACTTCCCCTAATTTGTCCCATTAATTTACCTTGATTGTAGCATGCTAATTGTGATTTGTGATGAAGTTAAGTGGTATAACCCGAGCCCTAGATTCCTCTTAATATTGTTAATCTCCTCTTAGCTTTAGTTGAGTTGAATTAGAAGAAGTTACTCAAAACCAACCCAATTTAGAATTCATTTAGCTTATTTAAACGGTAGTACTCGGTGGTTGATTCAACGCCTCTCTTGGGTTTGACCCTTTCTTACCCTTACTATTGTTAGTGAGACCAAGATAGGAATCATTATCTTTGGTAGGCTCGACGATGGCCTATCAAATTTTGGCGCCATTGCCGGGGAGGCAAAGTCACATTGAATGTATTATTGTTGAATGAGACTAGATGTGTGTATATGTATAGTAGTTTTCTTACCTTAATTTTTGTTTATGTGTGTTTAACTTGCGATAGTCATTGCTAACGTTTTTCTTAGCTTTGTTTGACTTTGCATGACACGAAAGAGTAAGCAATCACCGCTTATTCCCGTTGATCCAGAGCTAAATAAGACTTTGAGAAACGTGAGGAGACTCTTGCAAGGCACACCCGAGTTTTCCATTGTATATTCGGATTCCGATCCGGAAGAGGTTTTTGGAGCTAACGAAGAAGATAACATGGGAGAGAATCCTCCTCAACCATTGTTAAGAGACTATGACCACCCCAACGCATTCCAACTTCGGAGTGGCATACGTCTTCCCACCACGAATGCAAACAACTTTGAGCTTTCACCTCAACTCATCCGCATGATTCAAAGCGATCAATTTTGGGGTAGTCCTTATGAGTGTCCTTTTTCTCATTTGGACAACTTTCTTGAATTGTGTACAACTATCAAGCAAAACAACATTTCGGAAGAGTTTATTCAGATGCACATGTTTCAATTCTCCCTTCGAGACAAAGCAAAGCATTGGTTGAGAACGGTTGAAGAGGGATTGTTGAGTACTTGGGATGAGGTGACTAGAGCTTTTCTTGGGAAGTATTTACCTCCCGAGAAAACCGCTGAATTAAGACGGAAGATCACAAACTTCAACCAAGAGGTTGATGAAACTTTGAGTGAAGCATGGGAGCGGTTCAAAGATTATACTAGAGCATGCCCTCACCACGGTTTCACCTCATGGATCATAGTGCAAAGCTTCTATGATGGTCTTACTCCTACCTCAAGGGCCAACCTTGATTCGGGAGCCGGAGGTAGCCTTAAAAAGCTATCGGTTGACGAGGCCTACAAAATGATTGAGGAAGTGGCTAAGCATTATGCTTATGGAGGTGATAAAAGGCAAGGTCAACCCAAGAAGGGCGGTAAGCATGATCTTGAAGCAATAGATCTTATTGCTTCAAAGGTTGATATGTTAGCTCGAAAGCTAGATCAAGTGAACAATGTGCCCGGTAGCTCCTCTCCACAAGTCATGTCTTGTGAGACTTGTGGAGGAA